ACAGGTTACAAACTTGCGTAAATTTGTAGCCACAAAAGCCTCATTATCACTAGTACACTCTTCGGAAAACATAGATAGTGCTTTATCTGCTTCATCATTCGAATGCATAAGAGGTGCCACCAGCAGATCGAGATCGGAGATTGAAGGCGATGGACTATGAGATGTCTTAGATGCCCTCTTGTACCCTCCTAGCTCTAAATCTGCACAGGTTTTAAGACTCATCAGATTAGGGGCAACAGCGTTGACCACACGCCTAGCCATTTCTTCGAGATTGGGATCGTTCTGGTAGACTGAAATTAAATCCTCTAGACAGGGTGAGGTACAGCGGGGAACCTGCAGTATAGACTGATCACTCAGGCTAATCAGACTGGATCTGGATAAAGAAAGATTAGCGATCTGATCAGACAGTGTAATTGTGCTGCTTTCGTCTTCATCCCGAGTGCCTGAAGATAAGTATGGACTGGGCGATGAGGTGTTGGAACTTAAAATGTTTTTATTAATATCCTTGGCAATTTCTTCATCGTCGAATTCTGCAAGTTTCTGATAGATCCGTTCATCAATTTCTCTGGTGGCTGACATCCTTTCGAACTGCATCAGAGAGGTTTGATCTCCACTTGCCTGATTTGGAGAAACCGGAGGCGAATAAGACAAAGAAACTGTTTCCAGAGGCGACCTTAGATGCAGGCCGATGCATCCATCCATCTCACTTATAGGAAAAGGCTTGTTTTCTCCCAAAGACCCAGTGTCAGTGATGGCTACAACGCCAGTCGACTTCGTTTTATCCGGCGAAAGTAATCTTAGGTTAGAGGGTGAGTTTGTCGATTCAGCATCGAACGGATGCGAATGGAATTTGCTTTGACTCTGGCTGGAAGCAAGCTTATCTGGTAGATGAACGTCAATTTTGGTATCAAGACCGACGGAAATAGAGGGATGCAAACGGTGGGCTATTGATACAAGCCCTGAGAGACTGAATGAGTCGCGCTGGCATGAAGTAGTCTCGAAACGGTGGAGTGAAACCTCAGCAGATGTGGCTTGGCCACTTAAGCAGACCGAAGAACGAGATGCAATCAAAAAATGCAGGGATTCCCAAGCTGAAGATAGGTTTTCAACAGCAGGTTCCATTTTTGCCATAGTCTCATCTGTCGTTTTTTCCTGCCCACATCTAGATCCCATACTACTTTCATCATCTATCTTTATTTCCTCAAAATCTTCAAGCATCTCCACTTCTTCCAGCTCTATCAAGTCCTGTTTATTCCTTAGTTTTCCTGGCCATTGCGTTTTAACCTTATCCTCATTCCCCGCTAATTCATATTTCATTAGACCATCTTCTTCCTTGACAATTGTATCCTCAGCTTCCTCAGTCTTACACCTAACAAAATTTGCTTTATCATGTTCTATCCAGTTCTGTTTATGACCTTCGTATTTTTCAAGCCCCAGCTCTAATTCAGACTTTCCCTCCAGAACCTCTTGTGCATGTAACCTCTTATGCTTGTATGCAGCAAGACAAACTTCTTCTGTTCGCGATGCATAGAATTCATCCTTACAAGAGCCTCGAGATGAGATCAGCATACTAGTCTCGTCTGGATCATCGAAAAAATTGTCGTCTTTTGTCTCATAAACTACATTTTCATCCGACAATTCAGCACTAAGCTGTACGTGCTCTGTCCGAAGAGATTTGGGCTGTTCGACTTGCTCTAGAACGGCCAAATACTGACTGCCTGGGCGTACATCGATGCAACGTGGCAGAATTAGTCGGAAACTTGCCGGTCGACTGGCCACTGAGTCAAGCTGGTCACCAGCCAACTCTACGACGGCTACAGCATTGTGTTCGGGCTTAGACTGAATTGGTGAACTCTCATTGACCCCAACTTCTGCTGATCCTTCAACAGGGGGATCAACAGGATGCATCGGAGCTAGTTGGCGTCTTCTTGTCATTCCCGTGTCCAACCATGACACCTGAGCCATTTCAAATCCTGGAGATGTTTTAGAAGGAATTAAGTTCTGCGACTCATGGGTATCCTTGTTCAAGCGGGCAGGCAGCTGCCGAGATGGTGGAGGCGGGGATTTTAAGAGATTTGGTAGAGGGAGGACTGGTGTAGTGAGCTTTCCAGAGCTTCGCGGCACTAGTTTAGTTGGCTTATTCAGACGTCCAGAAGTTGAATAACGAGGTGTTGTACAAGGCATGTTGTCATCGTAGCCATCTCCCGGGGTCGGATGTGTGGGGATGCGAATTAACGGCCTATCGAGGCGGCTTGGAGTTTGAGGACGAGTGGAGCCCCGTCTTACGCTAGGCTTTTCTGCAAATAAGGAAAGGGGCTTCTGGTTTCCATCCTCTAAAAGACCTTGGTTCAGATTAAAAGTGTCAAATGTCCGTCATAATGCCATAATTACCATGGATTAAGGGAAAGAAGTATCATGAAAAAGACAGCATTCATTTAGGGATGTGGGTATAAAGAATAGAGATAAAAATAATTCATCAGCGTCATTTTAAATAAAAGTAGTATGCTAGAAAAAATGCATGATGAAGGAGTAAAGAGCCAAAACTAACTACCGATAATTTGAATTTAAAAATAATTCGTCTATTAGTGCTTGTTTGAATCATAATGCTATGAAGCGAGTGGCTCTCTTATCAAATACATTATCAATTCTTCTCAACTATTCACTCCTTTCTCCACTTAACACTGGTCCTTTGATTGCTTTCTACGATAGTAAGAACCTAACAAGCTGACACACTTCACCTCAATTGGTTCGTCATCTGTACCAGTCAGACTATAAGAATATTAAGTAAGAAGTTAAGTCACTCTAGATCACATA